TTGTGCTTCTACAAAAGTAGTTGTATCTTCGCTTTTATTCCAGTTGCTGTCAGTCACAAAGGTCATAAAGCTGGTGGGAGGGAGAGAACTGGGTTTAGCCTAATGAACTACCCTTCAGTACAAAATCCAACCACAAACTGTAGGGCAACTTGTTATCTTCAGAGCTTGTATGCCAGCGTTTTGGATTCTGTCAGTAAGATTTCTTCTTTGCATTAATGGCCCTTCAGATGCAATAAATGAAAGAAAGAAAAAAAAAAAAAAAAAGGCAGGTGGAAGAGCATAACGCTTGAATGTAAAACCTATATAGAGGATGATGATTTCCCTGTCATCTATAGCCACGTTTCAGTGAGATGTTAGAGCAGCAAGGCAGAATGACCTGAATTTGTAGCATAAAGTAGTTGCCCTTTGTTTCTGCTCAGCAGGGCAGCTGTATGGTGCTTTTACAACAAAAAAGGGGGTTGGTGAGATGAATGCATGATTTTTCATACACCACATGTTTGCTTTACCAGTTTGACAGCTTGCTTTTCTTTATTGTAGTGATTCGCCAGTTAATATATTTCACAATTCTCTTTCCACTCTTTCCCAAGCCCTATCGGATTTTTAATACCTGGCTTGGAGACCCATCCAAGAACCTTTTGCTTGCTGAAGTCATCAGGGTTATTAAAAGAGAAGACCTTCTGAACAACGCGACCCATGCCGGGAAAGCACTACTGACCGGGCTGCTGGATTTACAGGTAAACACCTGGAAGGATTAGAGATAAGAAGTTGAAATTTGCTCATCAGGTAGGACCTGACCTCATCTGCTTCAGACTCTTAGACTGAGGAACTCCAGCTTCAACTCTGGAGCCCCATGTGAGAAGGAAAATAAAGACAGGCATTTAAGGGTAGGCTCACAGATGCTTGCCTCCCAAAAGGCATTTTGCACAGGATAAACCCACATACTGTCTCTGCTCTCTCCACAACTCAAGGCACAGCAGGCAGGAGAACACAAAAAATTATAACCTTCGTCCTTTGGAGGGCCAGAATACAACTGGTACTACCAAAAAAGGTTACTCTTCTAAGAGAGGAGAATGGGGAAAAGAGCTTGCAGGTTGGGTGAGACATCGAGCCCCTGCAATAGGTCTGCTCCACTGTAGCGGCAGAGGCAGCAGGTTTCCATAGGAGGATGGTGGCGGAGCAGAGTTTGCCACCAGGTCCCCTCTGGGGCAGCAGCTGCCCTCCCTACTTCCTCACCTCTCTTTGCAGGCTCGTTACCCCCATCTTATCAGCAGAGTGAGAGGAAGAGGAACATTTTGTTCATTTGACACTCCAAATGATGCAACTAGAAACAAGTTAATTACAATAGCCAGAAACAAAGGTAAGAATGCTTGTGTGTGGATTAGCTTCAAGTGACAAGCAGTAGCGTATGTAATGTTTTAAATTTTGCTTTTTCCTATGGGGTATGTGTACTATAATTACAAACAAAACTGTATTTAACTTTTCTGGAAATACTTACATTTTCTAGAAACATCAGACCAGTCTGTTCCATGGTGTGCATTTACCTTTCTGTATAGGTCTAACATTGCTGAAGAGCTCTATCTAGGGCAGGAGTTTTTGTGACATCCCTTTCACATTCCTCTGCAGTGACCCTAGGTGCACCCAGGCACACATTACTTCTAGACACAGATCAGGAAAATGAGAAGAAAGCTAATGTGTCACTCAGGAGAAAGGGAAAAGATAGGAGTTTTATGGAATACGCAAGAGTGAAATACAATATGTTGCCTAAAATGGGCACAGATCTACACCTACATCCCTCTCTGACTACAGAGCTCATAACCAGCCGTAGAAAAGCCCAGGTATCTGAAGCCCAATGTGCCCTTTGAATTTAACTGTGTGCGGGCCCTGGGTTTGCTGCTGTCAGTTTCTGCTGTTACTCGTATTTCTTGAAGCAGGCATGATGCATCTAAACTATTGTGAAAGCACAATTTTAAAGACTGATTTTTTTTAATTCTTGGAAACTAAGACAGCAGGGAGAGAAGGCAAGTGGTTTGTTTCATGGTAACCAAGGCTCTGACTAAAGGCAAGGCAAGCTCAGCTCTGTGCCATGGAGTTTTCAAAGAATTTAATTGATTCTGGGGTAAAAACAATAGCATGCACTTGAAGTACTGCAGGAAGTTGTTTGCCAGCACTGAGCTATTTTAATATTTTGTCATTAAAAATGAAGTAGCTTGCAATTTTGAAGAAACCTATTGTGTCATTTTGTGGCACTGCGGTACTTAACCAGTACAGCATGGCAGCTTTGAAGGCTCAGATGCTGTTGGAGCTCTTTCCACTGCTGTTTAGATTAGTCCCAACATTTCAGGTGTTTTAGCTACAGGCACCCACTGTGTGCTAAGTTGCTGTGCAGCTTGAGGCCCTTTTGAACCCCTGACTGTGTGCTGTATTGCTGTGTGGTTAGCAGTGATTTGGGGAGTTCTCCCAGCCCCTGCAGTGAAGTGAACCTCATTTTCTGGCTGTTTGGCAAGGATGGAAATGACTAGAGGACCTGTTCTATGCTTGGTTTAGGTGTTGTGCTGGGAGGCTGTGGTGACAGATCAATTCGTTTCCGTCCAACGCTGATCTTCAAGGATCACCATGCACACCTCTTCTTGAACATTTTCAGTGACATCTTAGCAAACTTCAAGTAAAAACAGTTCCCTCACACTGAACGCTATGAAATTAGTTTGCATTAATTCATGTCTTCTCTACTTATAAGTGTAAAGTCATAAACTAAGGTTTGTGTTCTGTCTGTAATCCTGCCCAAGGCAAGCTGCTCCATGCAAACTCGACCCAGGCAGAGCATTGGTACTGGGCACCAGCAGGTACATGCAGCTGTCCCACACTGTGCGTTCGTAGATGCTGCGGCCCTCCATCTTCTGGCTTGGGTCATACTAATTGCAGAGTCCTCTCTACATTCATGGTCCTGACTATTTGATAGTCTAAATATGACCTGGTACAGTCTGTTTGCACAGGTAATCCTGGCACATTTACTCTTCTATCCAGAAGCAGCCACAAGCCTGCCATACAGAAAGTGCCATTCTCTAATGGTAACTGGAATAAACCCAGTGTTTCAAGGAAAGCTTTGCTTTCCCACACTGCCAAACACAGTGTTTTACAGTTTTATGCCCCTGAACTCCTGCCACGCCAACTGGATCAGGACACCATCAGCTACTCTCTGCCTAACTTTCAGTCTGCACACACACCACTTCAGAGGCACTAATGCACTCAGCCACATGTGCAGTGCTGTACATGCAACTCAAGGACTCATGCTTCTTCCCTTGTCCTGGATTTTAAAACTTTTGACTTCTCTTACAATCAGACTTGTGCAGAGAAGACTACACCTCAAGGTATCTCATTTGAGAAAGCTTAGAGAATCGTGTGAAGCACATTATTACCACCCCTCAGCAACCCAGAATGATTTGCTGCCATTTACCCCAAACCACACAATAGGCATTCCTTTATCTGTTACACCTTCTACACAAATACTTGAGGCATTTTGGAAAACTACTAAGCAGAATTGCTTGATCTTGCCAATTACCCAACGTGGGAGCCACTACAGTGAAGGCCTAGTCCTAACTGCACATCTGTAATACAGAGTACTTCTGTGTTTGTTCTAATAGTTTATTCTGTCATTGATACTTAAGAGATCTTCTAGAAGGCCACAGATCAAAAAGTGTCAACAGTTTGTCAATACATTTCTCCTCAGAGTTGTTTTGGATGTCTCTTTACTGTGTGCTCTTTGTTGTTTGCTTAAGGCTGACCTGAACTAGGTCTAGTGCCTTTCCCCCCCCCCCTTTTCTTGGCTAGCAAATATCTGCATTTTGCTTAATAAGTTTAACTTTATGTTGTACGCCAAAAAACAGGGACCACAGTGGACTTTAAAGCTGCTCTATTATGATCTGGCCACAATTTTTAAGAACATAATGAGACAGAGCATTAAAATACCTACACATTTAATACAACTACCAAAATATGAGAGGTTTCTTACCTGCTTTGAGAAGTATTAATTGTGGTTTTCCCTTTTTATTTCTTGAGTGCTGGTAATGGGAAACCCCAGTACACCCACTTCTGCTAGCCTAAAAACAACGGTATTTCTGTAAACCTCTGCAGAAACAGGAATCCTGCCACCAGCTGGTCAGAACCTGAGCAGGTTTTTGAACAGAGGTTGTAGAAATCTGGGGGGAAGGACTTGTAAACTGGTGTTCAGCACAACCTCATTGTCATTGCTGTCCTTGTAAGTGTATTATCAACAAGACGAAAGTCAAACTGAGAACTGTATTTGACAGCATTTTGGGAATTAGTTTGTTTAACATATCAGTGCAGTAGTTTTAGTAAATGTCTCTAGCAAGTCTTGTACTTTTACAGAAGCAAGGGTCCAGTAATTTGAAGTCTTACCACATCTTCACTTTTATTATGAATACTCTAGGTGTTTTTATAATTTTTACTGACACTCAGTAACTGTATAATTGTGTACAACATGTTGATGAAATCATGTTAGAGAATAACTTAGGAAGCACTGCAGCTGAAGCATATAAAGTTACTAATGTTTACAGCATCCTGTGGACAGTGCCAAATAGATGTTGAAACAAATACTTAACTACACTTCATGGTGTAACTAGTAACTGTACACAGATTCATAACAAATGACATCTTGTGTAATCAATATTCTTAAATAAAATATTTATAATGGAACTTCTCCAGGCTTTTCATTTTACACCTAGTACCTTCCTAAACTGAAGCACTGGTGCATATTAAATATATTCTATTGAAAATAAGCCTTCAAAAAACATGATGCGTGCTTACAGTCTGCTGTATTTTGCTGCAGTGGTGTTTTAGCCATGGAACACTTCTCTTTCTGCTACTGCTTTACCATACAGTGTCAGCCAAAATTTAAAAGAATGGAGTTTCCATGAGGAAAAGTTCAACACAAATCAACAGTAAATCAGGGTTAGCCCACGCAGTGACATGGCATTTTTACTTACCTGCATCTGCTGATCCACCAAGAGATGCAAATTTCAATATGCATGAGGAAGTCACAGGGAGAAGAGCACTCCAAATGTCTCTGTGAGTGAGGGTCAGCTTATTTGCTGTGAATTAACAGCTAGAAGAGCAGTGTAAGGAGTTCACTTGCTTATGGCAGCTCAGCAAGTGAGCAGATGTGGCTTTACATCCTGCTCCTCATTTCTACTGGTTTGGTTTGCAAAAGGAAGAATCATGCCAACAACTATGGAATTAGACCACTGACGCAGTGTACTGTGTCACAGACACAGGTACTCAGCCCTGCAAGCACAACGGAATACAAAGCACACATTTCCAACCTTAATTCAACACTGCTTTCAGATGCCATACTTTTTTTGTTTCCTTTCAGGTAAACTCAGACTGGGGGAATATGGAGTGAAAAGGGTATTTGGCAAAGGAGCTTTTGATGTTAAAATACACCCAAATGGGTAAACACATCAAGGATATATAGTAACCTTCACAGAAGACATCTTCGTTCATAGTACAAGATAATTTTGGTAACATTTACTGAAGTTTTTGCAACTCTTGTTACAGCACTGATTAAATGTTAGTCACAAAACAAACACAAACATGAGTATGTGCAAAGCAGGTCGGTCAAATTTTCAGATGATCATGAGGATCCAAAGTGAATAAAGGCTCTCAGGCTGTCCTTGTAATCCACAGCATCACAGTTTACAGTTTAGGTATGTTTTCCCTTTGTTTCTATGAGAAGCCCCTGAAATACCACCCCAATCAGTACGTCACCCTTACACCTGAATTGTCCATGTGTCTTGCAACATGTTTTGCCCCATTATGTTCATGTCCTGGAAGACCTTGCCAAGGGACCCCACACATTGCATCCAGCATTGTATGCTGCTCCTCCCAGTCACCCCAATTTCATTAATGCATGAGCACGTAGCTCGCTGACATCCAGCACTGTTGAATGTATGTACATAGGAGTTTTAATTTCAAGAGGCTTCCTAGACAAACTGAAATGTGCTGAAAGAGACAACTAATTGAGGCTGTCCTGGTGGCACTTCAAGAGTTTTCCAGCTGGGGTCAGCAGTAGTAATTAATACAGCCTCCCACTGCACCTTCCAAGTAGGGCACTTTAGACTGAACTGCTGGTGACAGTGCACCAGGCACGTCACTATCTGACATGGAAGAGACACTGCTCATACCTTAAACAAGCTACAAAGCCACTTAATCCAGTGGATTGCTCTTTATCATTGCTACTTTCTACACCGAGTGCACTTACCAGCTAGCTTTGCATAGGAAAATGACAGATGTCACTTTGGTAGTTAAACTTCACAGAAGAATAAGCACAATGAACATGCAACAAGGAAAATCACTGGAAATTAGTTGCTGTATCACTCAGGTTCTCCAAATATTTGCATAAACTTCTGTCTGTCTACAATCTGGCCAAACCTAAGTGTAAAATATAAAACATCTGTACTGTTATAGCGTTTGAACTGGAGAAGCAGCTCCCCTTTGCTATCTCCAACTTCATCCAGAGGTATCACTGTCTCTAGGGGACAGTAAATGTCATTCCGTCTTCCCCAAAACGTCAAGTGGGCCACTTTAACCGTACGGCCAGTTTCACTTAAGTACATTAATCCAATAATTCGTCTGAAAAAGTAGCTCATACCATACAGCATTGCACCAGCAAAGAATGCGATGCTAGCTGTATACAAGAAGATACCCTGAGAAACCTGGTCTTGCAGGTAGAGGTAGCAGACAGGTGGCAGCATGAGCAGGGTGGTGCCGGTCTGCAGCAGCTTCAGTCGGGACAGCATCCGGCAGTACTTAATCCCTGGGAACCTGTACACGAGCTTGAACTCTTCTGCTTTCCCATCTGCTGCCTTTTGCCTGACCACAGCAGTGGGGGCCAAGTGGCACAGACAGGCAGACGGCTCTCGCTGTCTCCCGGGATAATTATTAACTCCATTAATGTGCTGGTTTTGTGACTGCAAACGTGCCCATGGGCCACAGAACCGGGGCAGGTGCGCATCCTCCTTTTTCCATGACTTTGTCCAGAGCTCCTTTTGTAGACATCTCCCAAAAGCTGGTGCCATGCAGGTCTTAGTCCTAATTCCGCAGAGCCTAGCCTATAAGGAAACATTCCCACAGGTTATCATTTGAGCTGTCTTTAGGACCAAATCCCCTTCAGCACAGTCTGCTCCTCAGGCACCCAAGGACAGCAAGCAACAGCCCCAGCTGACTGTAACCTTGTACTTAAAACCAGCGTTATGTTAGGAAGCTGGTATTCATGCCTGCAGCTGAGGAGGAAAAACACTTTTGGTAACATAGCTGATACCAGAGCCAGCTCCCTGAACACAGCCTCACGGCATCTCTGCCTGTGTCTTTGAGCAACATCCAAGCAAAAGCACCAGCACCACAGACTGCCTCTAAGCAAAGAGGGTAAGAGAACGTGGGGCTGCTAGCCGGGGGTGTGTTAAATAATCACTTCGATGACAATTCCAGGGCAACAGAAGAGTTAACCACACTGGAGGCAGAGCAAGGGCCGCGCCGCAAGAAGGCCCTGAGGAACACGAGGAACGTGCGGGACAAGCCAAGATAAAGGCAGGAGAGGGAGCTCCCGCGCTGCCCTCACGCTGGCACACGCTCGCTACCGTTCCTGCAAGGACGCGAAACCACGCGGACAGCAACGGCCCCGGCCCCGGCCCGAGGGCACCGCTCCAGAGCCCGCCTGCACCTCGGGGGCGGGAGGCCGGCGGCAGACACCGCGGCTTCACTCCTCACTGAGGCGGCCCAGACCCGTTGCGGGCGCCTCACAGGCGGCACCGCTCACCCCTTGCCCGGGAAGGAAAGGAGAAAAGGAAAGGGGAAAGGAAAGGAAAGGAAAGAGAAGGGGAAAGGGTTAACGGAGCACCCCGCTCACCACCGCCATTGCCACAGCACCCCACATGCGCCTGCGCCACAGCGTCCAGGGGCGGAGCATGTCCCCGCTTCCCGTCGTGCCCCACGTCTGGCGGGCTAGGCCGTTGCCATGTCGGCGGCAGAGCCGTCCGTGCTGTGCCTGTTCGACGTGGATGGCACTCTCACCGCGCCGCGACAGGCGAGTGCTCCGCGCCGGGGCCGCGAGGGGCGCGCTGGGGCGGGCACACCGGGCAGACCGCTTCGGCTCCCGGCGGGCACGGGCAGCTCCTCAGGGGATGCCAGCCCCGAGGGAACACAGCGTTCTGCACCCGCTCTCCGCAGTGCTCCGCGTACTAACTGCCGTTTAAGGCGAAACACCGTACCCTTTTTAAAGATCCGCACGGCGCGGCTGGTGTAATCGTTGCTGTGAACTGGCGGTGCCGGTGTGACGGTAAGGACGCCCACAGAGAGCTTGTTTTGTTTCGGCACTTAGAAAATCACGGCGGAGATGGCGGCGTTCCTGCAGGAGCTGCGGCGGAGGGTGAAGGTCGGAGTGGTGGGAGGCTCCGACTTCGAGAAGATCAAGGAACAGCTCGGGGATGACGGTGAGGGCAGCGGCGGCAGCCCGGGCGCGGGAGGCTGCGGAGGTTGAGCGTAGTTAACCCTGTCCGTGGTCCCGCCGCGCTGCTCGCGCTGCCTGGCTTTGCTGTGTCACACTCGGGCTTTGAAGTGCCACTCACAGGCGTCTAGAGAGCGCAGGCTGTGATTGCGTTTGCAGGCACCTCGGTATCTTGCTCAGGGGCTGTTACCAACAGTGATATCCTGGCTCGGTGACAGTACCGTGGGAGGGCGTTTGTGCACCGTGGAATTCCATGCAGAACAGGTACAGGTGCAGGATGCTCAGCTGTGGAGCGCTTCCCTGAGATCTCGGTTTGTTCACTGCAGGGTTCTGATGCAGAGATGTACTCTCGGCTTCAGTCCTTTGAGAGGCATTTCATTTTCTGTAGGCGGCCTTTAATGGTCTTTATTTAACTGGTGACACAAATATGCCTTTGGTAATGCCCAAGTAATGCAGAATTTGTTTGACTTACAAGTGCTCTCCAATAAGCCATATCATCATAGAATCATCAGACTCAGAATGGTTTGGGTTAGAAGGGACCTTAAAGCTCATCCAGTTCCAACCCCCTGCCGTGGGCCGGAACGCCTTCCACTAGAGCAGATTGCGCCAAGCCCTGTCCAACCTGGCCTTGCACCATAGTGAGACCCTCACAGGTCTGACATCTGCTGCAAATTAGTAACACTGAGAAAGCAAACCTCAGAGGGTAGTACTTGACGTGCTCTCTAGCCAGGCTGTGTGCCAGGCTTTTGTAATGTTTGAGGTGTTAAGTCACTTTCTTATCATGTGATGCAAAGAGGCATATTTGCAGGAGAGGAAGAGCCTTTAAGCAAACCCACAGGCTTCATGTGATTTGAGGTGGAGTAAAATGAGAGTGACTGTGATCTCGTGTTCACTGTTATGTTGCTGAGTCTTTCATTCTGTATGATCTAATGTTTGCTGGATTTTAACCTATTTAATACAATTTAACCTATTTAATACAATTCAGCATTAGACATACAGTGGAAGTGATAAGTTACTGTCTTTTTGTTTGGTTGTAGTGGTTGAAAAATTTGACTACGTTTTTCCAGAAAATGGCCTTGTAGCTTACAAAGATGGGAAATTCTTGTGCAAGCAGGTAAGGGAACTTACCAGTGACATGGAAGAGACATTTTCTAAACAAAACCTTGCTTTGTGGCAACAGTGCAGTCCCTTATCCTTCTAAGGCCAGTGTGGCTGCTGTTCTCACGTGTCATCTCTGTAACAGATCACAGAATCACAGAATGGTTTGAGTTGGAAGGGACCTTAAAGCTCATCCAGTTCCAATCCCCTGCCACAGGCAGGGACACTTTCCACTAGACCAGGTTGCTTAAAGCCCCATTCAAGCTGGCTTTGAACCCTGCCAGGGATGGGGCACCCACAGCTTCTCTGGGCAACCTGTGCCAGCGCCTCAGCACCCTCGCAGGGAAGAACTTCTGCCTAAGAGCTTATCTCAGTCTCCCCTCTGGCAGGTTAAAGCCATTTCCCCTTGTCCTGTCCCTACAGACCCTTGTCAAAAGCCCCTTCCAGGTTTCTTGTAGCCCCTTTAGGCTACAAAAAAAGGCTCTCAGATCTCCCTGGAGCCTTCTCTTCTCCAGGTTGAACGAGCCCAGCTCTTTTGGCCTGTCTCCAGAGCAGAGGTCTCCAGCTTTCTAGTCATCTGGCTTTCATTTGGCACTCTGATTCATGTAATGACAGTCTGCACCTTCAGCTTTATTCTTTCTTCTTTATTCATATTGAATGGTTTAAAAAAGGGAGGTAAACAAAGAGAAAAATGAGACCCTTCAGTTAGCACCATGTGTGCATCAACTGAGAGCTACTTATTGAAGGCATGTTCCTTTGTGGTATTAACTGTGCCAGATTATACAATATCTGTGTTTTCCATTACTTGTTTTTAGAATCTCTAATTCTGGACCTTGATTGATGTTTATTTGGTTAGAGCATTCAGGGGTACCTGGGCGAGGACATACTTCAGGATCTGATCAACTACTGTCTGAGTTACATTGCGAAGATTAAACTGCCAAAGAAAAGGTATGTGTGTACACACACCAGTGTCGCTATGTTGTGTGTGCTATAGTGTTGAACATCCATGTGTAAAGTAGGCTGCTCGGCAAAAAAAACAATGATCCTGTTGGGTTTGAAATTAAACCAAAGTTCATTGTAATACTCGGTATTTTGACCAATTTTTCATCTATTTTCTGTCTCAACCAATTCTTTTTCAGGGGCACTTTTATTGAGTTCCGAAATGGGATGTTAAATGTGTCCCCCATTGGAAGAAGCTGCAGCCAGGAAGAACGAGTTGAGTTCTATGAACTTGATAAAGTGAGTTACAACTCTTGAAAACTATCCAGCTCTTCTGGAAGAGGTAGTTATGGCCAGGTTATGAGATTTAAAAAGCTTTTGTACTTTGTGCCTTTCTAATTTTTCTTTTCATTTTAACCCTTTCCATGTGGTTTAACCAACTTCTCCGTTCAGATTTCAGGAAATCAACAGTACTTTGTTTGTTGCACTAGCAAACAATGGTTACTTGCAAAGGGATGGGTTTGGCTGAACTATATCCAGAGTACCAAACATCCTACTTCTGCAGGGTGCTCCTGAAAAACCCTCTCAGAGATAAAACCATACTTATGTGGAGCGCTCTTTAGGATACCAACCTATATCCATGCAAATCAAAGAAACTATTCCGTTTCTTGTCAACTCTTTAAAGCCTTTTAAAGCAGAATTTAAAATCTGAGGCCAAACTCTTCACCATTTATTTTCCTTTGCACACAGCTAAGTGAATCTGAGCTGTGGTATCAGAGTTCTGTTCCCTGCTACACTGTCACAACTGTTTCGGACCCAACACAAAGAGTGAGATTCAGATCCTCAAAAGAAGACTTTGCCTGAGTCTCAGTTAATGGATGCTGAAAGATACCCAAGCCCAAAGCATTCTGAAAACATCCATATACTCCCATTTTTGCAGTATATGGCATCAGAAGATTAGCACCAGTTTTGAGACTTCCTATGCCCCAGTCTCCCCATGTGTAAAACTGAATTTTACCAGGAGTTAAAGCATACTTCCTTGGCATTCTAAGATTTTCAGCTAGAAAAGTAAATAACACGGCATCTAAATGAAGTTTTGCTCTCATTTTTGACACGCTGGTAACCAATTAAAGTGGAAATATTCTCAGCGTGCTTTCAGTGATAATAAAATGTGGCTCTAGCACACTAGATTAATCAGACCTTTGGATGTTTTTGGGGTGGTCTTTTGGGTTATCTTTTTATTGATGAATTAATACAGATATTTGGTTTTGTTGTGCATTTTTTTAACAGAAGGAACATATAAGAGAGAAATTTGTAGCTGATTTGCGAAGAGAATTTGCAGGAAAAGGCCTCACGTTTTCTATAGGTATCGCATTAAAAGTCATTTAAAATGTCATTTAATTTAAATGTCACTTAGTATATGTCATAGCCATAAGAGGGTATGACTTCTCTCATGTATGACAGATCTCTCTCTGGGGGTGGCTGCAGGCACTGCATGCAAGACTAAGCCTCTTTTTCCTCTTAGGCTTTCATGTGGTACATTTTAATTGAAGTCCATCAACAGAGATAACGTCATTGCTTGTCATCAGTTCATTGTCTTTTATTGTCAGTTGGGTGACTGATTCTGCTCATTTTGAAGCAGGTTACATGCTTCTGATTAGTCAGAGTTGTTTCTGCGAATCAATTTTGATCAGAAATGCTCTATCAGTACTGTTCCAGTAGCCCTTGCTTCTTCAGCTCTGTAGCTTTGTGTAAGAAAGAAATTCCAAAAGAAGTGCAGTCTTAAAGGTAAAAGTGATATAATGGGGAATTGCTTTTCCATGTGTTTCTTTTTCCCTCCCTTTCCCCCAGTATATTACCACATTCTTGCCATTTATTATTTTTCAGAATTATAAAAAAGTATGGTTGCTTTTAGTGCTGTGGTGTGGAAACACTGAGGCAGAAATTAACTGCAGTATGGCTCTCCTAAAGCATGCTGTAAATACTCTTGACACCTGCTTCAACTGGAAATGATGCTTTTACGCATGGGTAAAGCCCAAGGATTTGGAACTGAAACATTTGTTGTTCTGCCAGGCTGTGTTAAAAAAGCTAATTTCCTCCTTTTTGTATTCTGAAGCTTTAGCAAGTCTTTTGCGTAAGACCTTATAGCTGTACATAGACCAATCACTGTATTCAGTCACGTAGTTTCTTTCTAAAGTTAAAAAGATTAAATGTAATTTTTAAATAAAGGTTCGGTTCTGGGAGCCATGAGTGCTTGGGAACATGCTAAGACTTTCATATTTATTTAATGGGTAAGTAATAACCTGTAAATCACAACTAATAACTGATATCCTATAGAACACTTGCTGTAAGACTTAACTCCAAGGTCTTATCTCTGACTTCTGCAGAGCTCCCTCTACCAAAAAAGTGACCCAGTTTAGGTTTTCTCACTTGCTCTTCCCTCAGGAATGTGTTCTTATAGTAAAACATTAACAAAACAAACAAA